GGGAACTTTGATGTTACAGTTGTAAGTGGACACAAATGTTAACATCACTTAACTCGGTCAAATAGCTTAACACACCTTAAACTGACCATGTTAACACAAGTTAACAAGAAAATATTCAACCTTAAAAAACAATAAACACACCATAACAACTCTAAACATTAATGAATATAGGTTTGCATATAATAACATGAAAACCTTAATGTAACACCCCGTAAAATTATCATGTATGTTCTTATAATGTAATAAGATGGAAATTCGTTGAATTATGTTTGTATGCATATTTAATTTAAAAATAAATCTTAAGATAAGTATTATAATTATTTTGAGGTGCTTAAGGTCAATAATGAAATAAATTAGGGAGATCTTATAGTTTATATAAGTTAAATGCTTACATTTATTCCCTTATTTTTACCGTTGAAAGAAGGAATTAAAAAGTTAAAGATCAGGTATCAAGGGAGAATAAAAGTAGGAGAAAACTCAAGAGGAGGAAAGAATGGAATTGAATTGAATCGAATGAGTATAATAATAAGGGTTTATTTTTTTGGTTTTTCGCACAACATTGAGCTGTCTTCATCATCTGATTTGATTGACAAGAATATTACTGTCCGATCGAGTTGACATTTTGCAGAACTTGTTCATCATATGGAGGGGAACAACATACTAAAAATTCAATGGATTTGGTGGAGTTCTCGATGGATAAATGAAGGTATATTTAGAGTTTAAGAAATTTAGCCATGACATGAGATATCCCTTGGTTTTGAGATGAATATTGGAAATTTTCGGGTTTTGTTTTGGGAAATATATGTGCATAAATCGGTAGATGATTGAATGATTTATGTATATGTAAACTCTATTTGATCATTTAGGGTTTAAATTGTTTGAGGGTCCATGAATCGTGAACTGATGAAACTTACATGTCATTTTGATGATTTTGACACTAGAATCATAGTTATGTCTTGAAGTTTTTAATTTAGTTTGAAGGGAATTGGAATAACGCATTGAAACAAGTTGGTATTATAATTTATTTGTGAGATGTTTTATAGGTCGATGACTTAGACGTTAGAGCCATGTAAAAAGGAGGAGGGTTCGGATCATCACCCACCTAACAAGGTGAGTTTGAGCTTTTTCTAAACCATGGATATATTTATTTGTTTTGCTAAGAATCAAATGATTTACAACTTTTATCATACTTGTGTAGCTAATCATGCTTAATTGGTTGAAATAAACATATGGGACATGTTGAATTGTGGAAGCATGTTTAATTTGATATAATAAACATATGGGATATGTTCAATTGTGATGCATTTTGTTATCATGATATACAATGTGGGACGTTCATTTAAAGATAGTCAAAGTTGGGGGCTGGGAGCCTAATTAAACGACCATCATGAATAAGGACCCGGGGAGGGGGGGGGGATACAAACACCGGTTGTGGTTCAAAATTATTCTTATATGACATAGATGACTAATCACCGGTTGTTTCTTTTTTAATTGCATACTTTTTTCCAAGGACGTTGACTGTTAAACTAGCTAATAAAATAAATTAGAACTATCACTTAACAAATAACAATATAACAATAAATGTTTCTAGAATCGAATCGGTTAAAATTATTGACTGAAGTCACGAACAACTTAATAACATAATAGAATTAACACTTCAAAATTTTCAACTTATATCATAAACATTAGATCACTAGTTCTTTTTTCTTCCAAATTTTTGTTTTAAAATCGATAATTTTAAAATTTAAATCCATTAAGCGTATTCAATTGTGGCGCTAAGATGAAACAAACTTAATAGAATTGAAGTAGATGAGGTAAACATGCAAATATAAAAATTGGATTACATTGTAATAATTTTAAAACTTGAGGGTTATTTTCAAAAATTGACCAAAGGGTATAAGGAAATAAGTGTACATTACCCAGGATTATCCTTATTTTACTCACTACCATCGTCAGTGAATACTGTACTATCTTTTACTTTGATAAGCCAGTGTGTTTTTGAACCACTATATAGCAAATTGAATGATTTAGGAGGAGCAGTTACTCCCTCTGGCTACAATGTGGCTCCGCCACTGAACGTATGTCCATGAACAGGAGCAAATGTCGGATCTAACGGCAAGGCGGCAAGCACTGGGAGATAGATGTGGACATCCTAAGCTTTTGGAAGAAGGTATATTTTGAAAATATTCCTTATGCAAGTTACTTATGCTTTTGGTAGTTAGAAAATTGTTGGCACTCGGTATATAGCTAGTGTATATGTATGCGACTAGCTTATGGTTAGTTATTTTATAGTTTTCGTTGTGGTTATGACTTTTGAATCTTTTTTTTGAAGATATGCAAGTATATAAATGGGTAAATGTCGTAATTACGTCTCGGTAATGCCAAAATTTTGTTAAATTTTATTTCCTTGATTATGGGTATTTCACTTAACATATCTTAATACCTTTTATCATATTAACATGCAATAACCATGAAAATTTTAACATATAGTAACACACCTTGACAAACATCGTTGATGCAAGAAACTCGATCCCGACCAACCTCGATGCAGTGAGCGATCTACCTTCGTTGAAAAGACACATCGTATGCACACAACCAAAGATCGGATCCGTGCACCTTCACAGTCGGAGGTCAAAGAAGTGTTCATATGGTTCATATAGATTTTGAAGTTTTTACGAGAACCCAATATATATATATATATATATATATATATATATATATATATATATATATATATATATATATATATATAGAGGGTGGTTCAAATACTAACTCAATATTTTGTGCAAACTTTGCTAACCCACATCAACCAATAATGTTGCATCTTTGGGTTTGGTTAAAATGTAACTTACATATTAATGATAAGGGTATTTAGGTCATTAGTCATTCTTATGTAACTCCCAAATATTTTAATTGGGAGTTACAAATCCTACAATATCTCAAATTGATCTTCATTTAATAATGACATGAAGATTCAAATATGTTCATCTTATTGACAACTAATTCACATATGAAACCACCTACAGCGAACATCATGCACGAACAGATATAAAGTACATGTATCGGTTTTATCTGCACAACCCCTGTTTTTGTTAATGTGCATGTCTCATCGTCGTGTATGTATATCGCTACGAGCATGCATCAAGGTTGAAGAACATGATCATATGACCAACATATATCGATTATAGTGTTCATTAGGTTCACACGGTGTAGCTAATGTTCATATATTTAGGGTTCATATGGTGTAGCTAATGTTCATATATCTAGGGTTCACACCATAAGGTTCACATGAATGTTCATACCTTGATGTTCACACCATAGGGTTCACATGAATGTTCATACCTTGATGTCCACACCATAGGGTTCACATGAATGTTCATACCTTGATATAGGCACGAAGATGAACGATTGTTCATACACATATTAATTAATACAAAATTTTGACCAATTTATCCTTTGAACAATTGTTCATATACATATTAATTAATATATTAATTAAATTATTGGTTATTTAATCTCATTTAATAATAACCGTTAGATTAGAAAATGAACGATTAAGATGGGTTAGCATAGCTTACACAAAATATTGGGTTAGTATTTGAACCAGCCCCTATATATATATATATATATATATATATATATATATATATATATATAGAGCTTGGTTCAAATACTAACTAAGATTTTTGTGTTAATTTTGTTAACCAATCTTAGCCATTGATTCATACAATAAAGAGTTGTGGTTAATCATGATTAAAAATTAAATTTTTAAATTTATAATTTCAAAGAACATATGTGAACAAACGGAAAAAGGGTATTTAGGTAATTTTCTTTTTTATATAACTCTCATATCATTAATTGAGAKTTACAAAATCAAAAAATCTTATTATTTTTATTAATTTATTTTTGTTAATGTAAGAACCATAAGAACACACACACACATATGAATCATTGTGTCAAATACGAAAAAAAAATGACATATATATGAACTTAGACTGTATAGCATTTATGAACACGATATAAATATAATAAGAATAGTTGTTACACGAAAGTAAATAAATAAAAAAACAGGTATGAACACAATATGAACAGTTTGYGAAYAATAGTTCCTTCATTATGAACACATTCAGGAGCAAGCCAATGTTGAGATATGCAGATAGTGTACATATGAACACAATATGAACAATTTGTGAATAATAGTTCCTTCATTATGAACACATTAAGGAGCAAGCCAATGTTGAGATATGTAACTAGTGTACATATGAACACAATATGAACAGTTTGTGAATAATAGTTCTTTCATTATGAACACATTCAGGAGCAATCCAATGTTGAGATATGCAGCTAGTGTATATATGAACACAATATGAACACTTGTGAACAATTCTTTAATAATTAGATATGAATTCGAATTCCGATTGTAGTCGTAGACGATTCTAACCTTTTCTCATTGTTGTCGATCTGTTTTCCAATAGGTTTATCCATATTACTCGGACGATATCGAAATCTTTACAATMDRAAATTCTTTAACAATTACAAAATCAATATCATTATGGATAGAATAAATCGAAATTACAAAACATGAACACGTATAAAAAATATAAATATTACATAATTATCAATTATTGAGATTTTTATATTTGTAACTCCCAATTAATGATTTGGGAGTTACATAAATGACAAAATACTTAATTACCCTTGTCATTAATATATGAGTTATATGTGAACCTAAAGAAAAGATGGAACATGATTAGTTGAGTTTGGTTAACAAAGTTAACACAAAAATATTGGTTAGTATTTGAACCAATCCATATATATATATATATATATATATTTTATTAACAAACATCATATTTTATTTTAACACAAAATTTTCTGTATCTTTTAGTGAAAAATTGCGTTGCTTAATTTTTTCTTTAAAATAAAAAAACATTAAAATTTTTATATATTTGGTTTTGTGATATATTTCTTTCTGGAAATTTCCGTGAGAAAAAGATCGTTTGTTCCTAAATTGGTTTTGCATCACCATCTGTTTGCCAGATTCTCCAGAGCAGTACGTTACCATCACCATTTTCTCCCCAAATTCCATCCCTAGGGGTTCTATTTCTCTAAATCTTCAAAATTTGTCCCTCAATTCCTCTTCTTCCGGGTATGGCCGGTATTCGGTTACCTCCGGAAGACACCGATATCTCACAGGCAAGAGCCCTCTCAACCGCCGATCTGATCTCCGATGACGACCGTTCCGTTGCGGCTGATTCTTGGTCCATCAAGAGTGACTACGGGAGTACTCTTGATGATGATCAACGTCACGCCGATGCATCTGAAGCTCTAGCAGCGGCCATGTATCGTGCCGCCTCTGATTATAGGTTAGGTTATCTTCCAGTTTTATTCAACTCCGTACTATACGATGTAAATCAGTTTTTTGTTGATTACTATTAGCAATAATACAATGAAGTTTGAGTTAGTTCGATCTTCGTGTTTTTTATATCAGCAAAAGTGGGTGGTAAGCGTTGGGGTAAAATTCGGACTAGCAGATGATAAGAATTTGTCACACATATATACGAATTTGCTCCTATCTCTATTAGGAAGGTGCTCACCATGACCAGTGGGACCGAGGTTAAGGTTTTTGGGCCGAGAGATGTATGACTTGTTAATAGTTATTGACATTGCACATAATATGATGATACTTATCGGTATGGTATCTGTGCTACTGAATCCGGATAAGCTTATTACCTGAGGGTGTCATTTTGTTTATCATCTTTGTGTTGAAGTGTGTGATTCGTTAACATTTCTAAATTTGTCAGTAAGGTATGGTGAAAGTTCTTCTGATGTAGGTTTGTTTTGAACTATGATAATATTAACCTATTCTATGGAGCATGATGCCAAATCAATATGAATGGGATTCATAGATAGACATTCAAATCCTGAAATATTCGTAATTTTTAATGAATAGTGATGTGGTTGCCGCATCCTCTAAATAGGAAGAAACTAGGATCACAATGCTGTATCAACAGAAGGTTAACTAAGCATGTAATTTGTGAACTTTAAACACTTTTAACATGGTTTCTTACTCATGGTAGTTTCTGCTGAGAGAGAGCCTGCTTAAACATATATGTTGCAAAAGGCTAATACTCTTTTCTCTGGAATATGCATTTGTTGTGTTTTAAAGCTCTGATAAGGAAGAACCTGATGCGGAAACAATTACATCGATGCTGGGCTACCAAAGTTACTGGGATGCAGCATATGCAGATGAATTGACAAATTTTCGTGAACATGGGGATGCTGGTGAAGTTTGGTATGTTGTTGACGACCTGTTAGTTTTACCTTCTATGTTTATTTGATTGACAACAACTTATACGGTTATACCTTCATTGGGAGATGTCAGTTTGCAGAACTTATCTTATGCCCCTGTTTGGTTTTGCGTGATGCTATTTGCCTATATAACTTAGGAGAAGAATTCTTTCGGTTTTGTAGGTTTGGTGCAGATGTCATGGAAATGGTTGCGTCCTGGACAAAAGGATTATGTGTAGACATATCTCAAAGACAAGTTCAAAATCACCATGACAATGATGATTCTGAGTTTGTTAGCCAAGAGGAGAAAGAAATAGCAGCTTGGAGTGTACTTGATGTTGGGACCGGCAATGGGCTGCTTCTTCAAGAGCTCTTTAAGCAGGGGTATACATAATATAATTTCCTCCTTTTTTTTTATGGTGCCATACAATTTCTATGGAAACTTTATTTTATTATTTTCTCATGGCTCATTTTACTCATGTGTTTCAAAGATATCGAAAGATGAGTAGCATCCAACTATACCATATGCTAGGTGGACGTATTTACCATGTTTTTGATAGCTGGAGGATTTTGGATGTAATATATTTTAAACTAGATGGGTGTATTACATTTGCTTCAAAACTTGAAGGAGGTTGATAGAACAAATCAAGTGTAGGTCCTCTACTATGTATAGTGGATATGAAGCTCATTATGGTAGACAGATGAATGAAACCTATGGATTTGGTGTTGTGACTTTTCTGTTTCTTTCTTTATCTAACATATTCCTCAAAATCTATGGTGTAGCTATTCGAACCAAGATCTGTACTCTGAATGCACATTGGATGCATTTGGTGTGCACGGCTGCACCAGTCTTGAATCATGTAAACACATGCCATCTCATCGTCATGCAATTGTGAATAATAGGGATCTACTTATATATCAAATCTTTCTCCCTCCCCTTAACATTGTCTTCTTCAGTCTTCCTTTATCATATAGTTTGATTTAGTAGAACTAACTTTTGATGTTGCTGGGATATAGGTTTTCTGATCTCACTGGAACAGATTATAGTGAAGGAGCAATTAACCTTGCTCGAAGCCTTGCTCGTCGTGATGGATGCACTAGCATCAAACTCTTGGTATGATGCACACTAGCATGGAACTTTTTGCTACCCTATGCAGTTGCATTTTCTATGTAGGATTCTTAGTTGATGGGTCCTGCGTCATGGTGTACAGTGAAAATTTGTACACAGGCTTACTCCAATATTGGAGTCAAGAAACTGAGAAAGGGGGACGTTGGGGGAGGGGGGGGGGGGTTAGGGATCTTTTTTGCATAGGTTAGCAACTGTTTTCTAACCTATTCAGTAAGCATTTTCTGTGTATGATTCTTAGTTGACGCGTCCTGCATGGTGGTGTACCGTGGATATTTGTACTTACAGGCTTACTCCAGTATTGGAGCCAAGAAAGTATTGTTGTTAGGCTGGGATCTTCTTGTGCATTATTTTATCTTTTCTCTTTGTTTTGGGGGGAGGTAAGGGTCTTGGGAAGATTGTGTATATATAGCAGTAGCAATATACACGATTATGGATGTTTCTCTCTTCAAATTCAAATCATGATTTTAGCAGTAATGCTAGCTAAAAGATTTAGTGAATAATCGAATTGGTATGCAATCTTAATTGGCCTGCATCTGCTAACTATGGGACTGAAGGAAGAAGCCAATTTTCTGAAACTAGGATGTGCATTAGAATCAAAAGTTACTACCAAGTATACTGGTAATTTTACCCGTGTGCTACTTGTTTTTGTTTCAGCAATTATAAATGATTTTTTTTTTACAAATAACTATCCTATAAACCACTTTTTTAATAATTGCAAGCTCTTGGAGTAATAGCACACAAATGAAAGCGGAGTTTGATTGACCCGGATGTCATATGGGCAGTCGTGTCTGTGTTTGCATATATGCTGATTTCAAATCCATAAACCTTGCAAGCTCTTCCTGTGATGTTTTTTTTTTTTTGATTGGGCAATGTATAGTTCCTAGATCGAGTTGGCTTGGAACTATTTCCACCTTGTTTATCTTTAGTTCTCCTTGCTTTTGCTCCTGGAACAACTTCAAAATACGATATTACTGACCCTGTTTTCACTGAGCTTTAACTCGTTGAATGAAGGTTTTCTGATGATTTCAGGCAGACTCATTTAACGAATTCCTTGCTTTAGTAAATCACAACTTTTAATGTGATGGTGCAAAAGGTGTGTAAAGTATCAAACTCATAAATACAATAATTTTTTAGGGGTTGGTGCTGACAGTGCTATGTATAGATGAGTGGACATTTCTTTCAACTAGATAGCAGCCATATTGATCATTTATATTGTGTCTAGATAACGGTTGAACCAGAAATGTTTTATTTCAGTTCAGTTAAGCTTTGAAGTCCAAAGTTAAATTGGCATCTTCTAAGCTGAATTTGAGCTTTAAGGTTATGTAATGCTACTTATTTCATGCCTCCATTGTCTTCTATACTGAAGCATTTCGCACATGCCTTTTGATTTCCAGGTTGATGATGTTCTTGAAACGAAGTTAGATAAGAAGTTTCAGCTGGTTATGGACAAGGGAACTTTAGATGCTATTGGTCTGCATCCTGATGGACCTGTCAGAAGGTTAGTAATCATGGTTGATAATTTCTGCACTCATAAACTAATACCAAAATTTAGGTTGGTGTTTATGTGTGTGTATGTGTTAGGGGTGGGGATGTTTTTGGTCTCATTTCTGATAATTACAGGTTTTTTTGTTGCTGAATTACAGGATTATGTATTGGGAATCTATGTCAAGACTTGTAGCTCCAGGTGGCCTACTGGTGAGCTTCCTCACCCCTATTCTCTTAAGTTATAATGCTGTTTTACCTATGGTTATATATCCCTACATTACCTGCTATCTTCTAATACTTGTACGCGCTGCTGTGAAGACCCAAACTTTAATTTTTCAATATAACACAAAATTCATCCCAGGATCACTTGTTACATCTAAGCAACGGAAAATAGAACTTCTAATATCATGAAACAGATTACAATCTAATCTTGGTATCTTACAATTAATCTTACTCATTGAAATACTGCCTCAATTTGCCTTCAACTTCCATGGGACTCGGTCGTTGTTCCCTCACTTTTTGTATTGTTCCTTTCAATCAACTACTAATAGCATAATTTTAGAAGGGTTTAAGTTAGACCTAAGGCCTAGTAAGTTCACATTTTTAATGCAATATTAATGTCAATTACTTTAAAGCGCAATTGAAAATCAAATGTCAGAAATATCATTCACTTTTAGCAAGTGTTCGACTATTAGGTACTCCCTCCATCCCAAAAATGAGGGCCCATATTTATATTTTAGTTTGTTCCCAAATAAGTACTCACTTTCAAAAGATAGTGCGTACTTTCCAATTCCATCCTTAATTACCAGCTTGAAAAATTTATTACTCCCCCGTTATTAAGAGTAAAGTTGTCATTTAGTTGCTTAAAAGTGTATTAGTTACACATTCTAAAACTATTATCTTTTTCGTTGTGGACGTTTATTTTGGGACGGAAGGAGTACCTTGCATATGAGCATTGGCACATGTTTCTCATGCTACAACAATGGTTAGCCTTACCCTTTTATTTGGTTTAGGTGATCACATCATGCAATAATACCAAAGAAGAATTGGTGCAAGAAGTGGAAAACTTCAATCAAAGAAAAATTGGCTCCTCCCAGGAAGAAGCCCCTGGGGATGCAAAGACAAGGCGACACCCGGATTTTTTCTGCTACTTGGATCATATTCGTTCATATCCAACATTCGTGTTTGGAGGTTCGGTTGTGTCACGTGTTGCAACAGTTGCATTTGTGTTGGGTCGATTGGTTTGAGCAATGGGTGTGTTTGTTTGATTGGAGATATGAAGTATGGTGTTTGTTAGGGCTAGTAAAAATTGATGAAACCTTTGTTGGTGAAAAACAAAAAAAAAAACAAAGTTAACATAGAAGACCAATGATGTGTGGAATCCAAGTCCTTCTGTTTTCATGCAAGCATTGGCTTTTCCAGAGTGCTTACTACAGATTACAGAATACAGATGATAGGGTTATGTAATTGTGGCCCACCTTTGTTGGTTAAGGGATGACCGGTTCAAGGCTTTTGATGGTATAACCGACTGATCAGTTAACTGGTTTAACCATCTCGATGTATTAGCAATAGCCAACAGGCCCGGGTTAAGAGGGCCCAAACCCCAACTATTTAGAAGAAACAAAAATGGACTTGCATTTTCTAAAAGAAGAGTCCAGGACCCCAACTATATAAAAATCTTTCGTTGTTGGTATTTGGTTTTATTCTCTTGTATTTGGCTTGATTTTGTTAGGGGTCTAGTTTATCCAATAAACATTTACTGGTAAAGTTCGATACTATGACTTATTTATCGCGAAAGATTTTTGTCCACAAAGCGACAAGTGTTTGGTAAATGACCTCTTAGTAAATTATAATTGTAGGTGAAGGGAAATGTTAGATTGGTTTTGCAATTTTGTTTAAAGTTCAGAATCATGAGACTAAAATCTCGAAATCAATAAGTTATATGTTTGCTATTGATAAATCAACGCACTATATCTTTTTCTTAAAAGGACGAATGTGCTAGATTGCTATTGATGAACCATTTATTTTTATTTTACTATTGCTATTGCTATTGCTATTGCTATTGTTAAAAAAATGGAAAGATTTTTTAAAACGAAAGCATCAATACCCGAGTCCAGCTCTGTTGCTTCAATACTTTGAGAAATTGATTTGAATTATCTTGCTTGGGATCCAGCCTATAAGAAAGAAAATCCGGGGTATCATCCTAATCAAATCAAAGAGATGAAATGAGAAAATATTTGATGAGATGACCTTGTCAACCAGAAAGAAAGCCATATTTTTCAAAAGAAAATTGTTGAGAGTAAGCAACTGCAATTTTTGTATGGATCCAGTCCATTGGGGGTACTATGAGAGTTATTTATGTACTGCATATAGGTACAAGTTTAGATGTAGCCATTAAGACAAGTGATGAGAGGTTTTGGGAAACACCTACTTTTTGGGTGTGGGATGCTCAAATGAAGATTAATTTGAACGTCATCGGAACACCGAGTGTAGTGGAATTATATCACATACATGAAAATACAAACTTTCCTTGGAAGCAATTTGCTCCGGACTGTTTCGGCTGAACAATCTTTAAATTTCTCACAAAATTTGAAGTTCCCTAACCTATTATCCTCCCAAAACAATGTTGACCCGTCGTTGCCTAATCTTTTACCAGATGACTCATTCAACTGATCTCTATCTCCTAAAAGTCCCTCCCAACTCGAATAAAAACTATTTTTTATACATAAAGTACTGTTTATTGATGCATATTACTTAAAATTCAAGATTAGAAGTAAATTGTGCATAATTATAACTTATTAAAGCTCTATATTTGAATTCGTATAACTAACTGCGGATAAACACAATCAAATAGAGGATAAACCTATCATTTTAAAATATAAAAAATCTAAAATATAATTAGGATAATTATTGAGTTATAACAGAATACTAAATTATTATATTTATAAAAAATATATTACCAAACATAAATTAAGTTACTTCGTTACGTTAAATTAAATTCTAATAAAAATTTTGAATTAAAAAAATACACAAACAAGAACTTTTAAATAGTTAATTTGATACTAATATTGATATATTTTTTGCAAATTTTATATGATATTTTCAAATTTATATTTTATTCAAAAGTAGAAACATTATCGCCTTTTCAAAACCATATAAAATCGTATTATATCGACGCGGATAAAAATTATAACGAAACATTGAAATGGAAATGTGTCTTGATGCATTGCACGAGTACCCTTCTAGTAAATCTAAAAACATATAAGTTAAAATTAATTTTCATATACTTATATGTATAATTAATTTATAAATCTTAAATTAATAATTGTAAAATATCTTTTCTATTTAAAAAAAAAAAATTATATAACCAAAAGTTATTTTGAGAAGTGGTAAATATTTGAGAAGTAAAGAAGTGATCTTAACCATTCCTACGGTAAAGATCGGATTTGACTGGTCGATAATTGCGGCTTTAACTGGTCAAAAATTGCGGTTATGCGAAAAATAGAGGATGATACTTTCATAACTTTTACAAATAGGCGGCAAACATGTTCATATGTGAACCTATCTGATTCACATATGAACCATATGTTCAAATGCGAACCCGTGTTCTTTAGATATGAAATATTTTAGTCGATTCACATATGAACAAATTAACTGATTCACATATGAATTTTCTTTATTCATATATGAATCAATTAAATAGTTCACATGTAGACTAATTAACCGGTTCATATGTAAATCGCATGGTTGGTTCATATCTGAATCAGTTAAATAGTGAACTTGTGAACTAATTAACCAGTCCACATATAAACATTTAGTTCATATGTGAATCAAATGTGTTATATATAACTTGTTTGCCGCCTATTTGTAAAAATTACAAAACTACCCCTCCATCTTCTACATATTCATGTGAGGAATTATCGTGTGCTTCACGGTCAAAGCCACAAATGTTGACTAGATGAAAAGCTAGGATCAGTTCTTTCATTATCAAATATCTATCACTTCGCAAATTAACATTTCTCTCCTTTTCTTTCTTTCTCTCTCTCTCTCTCTCTATAGAGGTTGGTTATTATACAACCTTTGACATTTGTGCAACCAATACAATCCAATCTCAACCGTTCATTTCATTTGATGAATATGTGATTTCATAGAAGTTTTGATTGTTTCCTAATATAAAGTATTAATCATAATTAATGAACTCTATTCATATTCCATAAATATTCAAATCATAATAAATAAAGTCCCATAATTTCTATAAATATATCAATTAATTGGGTTGCAAGGGTTGTACAAATACACAAGGTTATAAAAGAAATATATCATATATATATATATATATATATATATATATATATATATATATATATATCACCATCCATATGAGTCATTTCTCATACCTCTCCTTCATCATTAACTCCACACCGACTTGATTAAACATATACGGTTGAATCAAGATTACGAGTGATCTAT